GTAATCAAATCAAATAACTTTAAATAATAAATATTCATTCAGTACATATTTGCTGCCCAAGTTTTATGGCCAGTTTAAACCACTGATCTGGGGAAGTCACTGGCTAAGCACCTAGAAACAAAAGTTTATCGAAATGATAAAAAACATTCTTTCGACAACTCTTCCGGAGGCAAAGAGAAAATGTTTCTTCATTTCAGTTTACTCAGTTTAGTCCAATTCAATTATTAGATTATTCAGGTCAAGAATTGGAAGCAGGTAAGACTTTTCTTCTTTCAATCTATGAATAAACAGACCAACTAGTTCTAAAACCTAGGACGTAATCACCAGAACAGTCCGTTCAGTTCACTATCTATACTATCCAATACTTCCTTGGTTGAATACATCAGGTACTTTTAAATGCAAAACATGTTTTGATAAACTCTTTTTCTTCTGTATCCAGCATATTTAATGTAGTTTTAACTAATAAAAAAAAATGAAATGCTAGTTTTCTGCATTTAATTGAATCCGAATCTCTACACATGGCAAGTAAAAACTAAATAGGAAATGTCATATACCGTTTTCCTGAATTAAAATATAAACATTGAGAATCCAAAAAATGTTGTAAAGCTATATAACTGCTTCAAAGCACATTGAGTATATCCTGATTTACACTAATTTGGAACATCCTTCCTAGTCTATGTTTAGCTGAATGCCTACACGTCTTAATGATTATCAGCAAATGTGAAACTTCCCTTAGGAAAATAACTAGCGTACACATTCAGAACCATAGCCAATGAGTTATTTAAACCAGAACTTCTTGCTTACTGACTAAACTTCCAATTCGAGCCTTTTGATTTTAAATTGAACCACCCAAGCACAAAGCATGGGTACTGGCCATAGCAACCACTCAATATAGCTACAGATTATACGAAGTACTGAACTGTTCCCATAACATAAAGCGTGTAAGTAAAATGTAGGGAGAGTAAGTATCAAGGGAGAATCTTTGCAATGTTTAATTAAGCTTTGAATCTTGCTGTGGCAAGGTACTAGTGATGCAAATTGCACTGAATGGATTTTAAGAAAGAATTTGATGTTTCCATGCGAGTGTCAGGACTACCTGCACTGTCACTCACAGGAGGGCAGAGTCCGTGCCCGGGCCGCAGGGTGTAATTTGATCACCACCTGCAGCTACCAAGCACTTTTTGTTCCTACTTGTAAACATCAGCTGGATTGTATTGGAGTGAGCTTTTGATGCTTTCTCTTACACGGTCCTCAGTGAGCTAAGGAAATGCAGATTAGATGAAAGTGCTGTAAGGTAGATACATAACTAGTTGGATTATCATGCTGCAAGTGTAGTCACCAGTAGCTCAATGTGTAGTTGGAAGGAGGCATCGAATGGGTTCCCCGGGATCTGCCCTGGGTCCAGCGCTGTTGAATAGCTTCCTGAACTTTTGGAGGATGGGGCTGAGTGCACATTTAGCAAATTTGCAGATGATACCAAGTTGGACGGAGGTGCAGACACTGGAGGGTGAGGCTAGGATCCAGAACGGGTGAGCAAGACATGGCCTGCAAGCCGGATGCAGCCTGCCAACTGATTGGACCTGGCCATGAGCAGACGCCCAGCAACTGACTGTATCAGCCTGCAGCCGCCCCTGCACCACGCTGCGTGGGGCCGAGTCTGCTCTGCTCCTGCACCAGGCCCAGCAGACAGCACCACCCCGCCCCAGCCAGGGCGTACAGCTTCCCAGCGGGGCTGCTGTCACACTTGTCCAGGTACTGCTAGTTACCCTGCCTCCAGTGGCTCTTCCTCCTCCTGCCCCCGCTGTGCCGCTCGGGGCAGCAGGCAGCATGGGGAAGCCATGGGGACGTGTGCCAGGCAGCAGATACCCAGCGTGTAGGGCTCTGGGTCCGGCTCTTGGCTGCCTTCCACCCATCCCGCCCTCCCAGTGTAATGAACACCTGTGGGCAGCTGAACGGGTGGGAGGCGTCCAGGAGCCAGAGCCCTGCACACTGGGGCAGGAGCTGCCTGGCTGCAGCTTCTCCCTGGCCTGTCTGGGCACCCGGTTCCCAGCACGGGTCCTTACGGCTTCCCTGCACTACTGCTGCCCAGAGGGGCGCAGGAGGAGCCACTAGAGGCAGGGGAGCCGAGTGGTACCTGGGCGGCTGTGCCGGCCAGGGCTCAGGCAGTGCTGTCTGGTGGGCTTGGCCCCATGTGGCGTGCTGTGGACGGGATGGGGTGGGATGAGCCACACCTGAACCTGCGCTGCCTGCATGAATTCTGCTGCATGCATCCCGCTCCCCCTTCCTCCCCCACGGCTGGTCAGCTCCCAGGACCTAGTGCTCGAGCGCCGCCCCAACATATGAGAGTAGGACTTTATTTCGAACTATTAAAACACATTACAGTAGATGTTTTGACTGTGATGTGCGCAACCCTCAACAGCTCATCAAACCTCATTAAGTAGGCCCAGCCAAAATAATTGCCCACCCCTGATCCAGAACGATCTTGACAAGCTGGTCCAAAATGAGTTGAATGAAATTCAATAAGGACAAGCGCAGAAGTCGTAAAGGTAGGAAGGAGCAATCACAGGTACAAGCACAGGCTGGGAATGGGAATGGGAACAGGAACGGGAACACGTGGTCAGGCTGCAGAGACGAACCCCGGGGGCTACAGTGAACCGTAAGTTGAAAATGAGTCTTGCTGCAAACCAAACCAAACCAAACCAAACCAAGGAGCCCCACGTCCTGGGCTGCATTAATACCACTCAGGCACTTAGCCAGTGACTTCCCTAGTTCAGGTGTTTAAACTGTCCTTAAACTTGGACAGAAAGTATGTACTGAATGAATATTATTTAAATACAAATTAAGGGAAGGGATTCATGTACCCTTGACAGCGCTGGTGAAGCCTTGTCCGAAATACTCTGTCCAGGTCTGAGCATCACATGGAGAGATGTGGACAGATTAGACTTTTATGGACAGCCACAAAAATTATTAGAGATCTGGGAATCTGGATTTAGGAAGAAAAGCTGAAAGAACCAGGAGCGTTTCGTGT